TGTTACTGGTTTATTGGTACATCCATTGAGTGTTTAGTTGAAAATACCATTCGTTCGAATGCTATGCAGACATTTTATCACTGTGTTCAATCTAAAGGTGCACAGCACGACTTGTCCTTTCGACTGAAGGCCGTAGATGTTCACTTCTTAAAATGCAATTGTTGCGTGTTGACATTTAGCTAGAAAAGCCTTATTTACGGCTATTAATAATTTTATCTATTTTGTACAAAGGAATAAGTATGTTATTTGGGTAGGTAAAAGGGTGGATGGTATCTTATTCAGGATACATTTCCTGTACTTTATTTTTACTTTCATTTTTTCAAGGCAACTTATTTTGAAGCAAGCAATTTAGAAGACAGTCATATAATTGCATCCTACGACGGAAATATTGATGTTTTTTCGCATTTTTATATTTTGAAATTCAAATAAAGATGGATACGGTATGCTTTACAAAACAGAAAACTACTCTTACTTCATTGACAGGGTATTTGAAGTGCCAGCCAATTATTTAATATTTGTCCAATATTGAGCACTCAAAATTTTACTTGCCGCAGGCTCAGTTTCACTTCCAAAGGAAATATTTGCTTAAATAGCTCACGACTGGAGTACTCTGACGGTTATATCAGAAAAGTAATATTGTGAAACATGTAGATATACCTGATGTGTATACAGAGAGGTGACACTAAAATTAATTTCTTGGAAAATCCTTGAAAATAGGTTCAGCAAATACTTTGCATAAGAACTAGTATTAATTAGGAAATTTAGTGACAATACACAATAAAACCAGTACAAAGTTAAATTTCAATGCCATTTAATAAATAGAAATCGATTTCTTAGTTTGATTTTTTTTCGTAATAACATGGATAGTGGTAGACTGACATTCTTCTTTACTGTTGGTTATAGAAAAATATTATCGGTATTGTTTTTCAGAAAATTAAAATAAATATTATTTTCTTATTATTTCTTATAAATTTAATATTCATCAGAAAGTAAAATAAGAAATTTGAACTTTGTTGTTGTGTTTCACTTTCATTTTCAAGGGTAGCGACACCTGTGAGAGAGTGTACAAACTAATTATATCGAGAGAAATTAGAAATATCTTGTGAATAGGTAGGAAACTTGACAATTCTGGTTTAGATACATACTAAAAATGGAGTCGTGTGTAAAATGTTGTCATTTCACTTGAGGACACAAATTATAGAACTATTAATAAATATTAATCTGAAAATTAAATACAAATGATCCTAGGTGTCCGTTCTAGTGAGTGAAGTAGTTTGGTTATTGTGCCTAACCTAGTTCCGTTGTAAATGGAATATATTGGCAGACTAACAGTATGGTTAAAATTGAGGTACTTTGGCATTTATTTAAATTATTCTTCTGTTCTCATGAGCATTGAAATTTATCTCACTCACTAGCGGGAACCATTGCGAATACATTGATATATAATAATATTCAATTATGTTAGTTTTTTTTATGGTTTGTGTCCTCATCTGAAGCTCTGTTACACGGTAAAAATATACATACTAAATCGCCCCCTTAAGTAGATATGTAAACTTCCACAATATTTATTAAAAAGTTATATGTAATATTTATCGAGAAGTGATATATAGGTATTTATATATCGACATAACGTTAATTTTTTATTAGTCATCATAAAACAAGAAATGTTAACTTCACCACTAAGTTTTGCATTCAAACTCTTAAATATAAACCCCCACGATATTTTAAGATAAGATTATTCTGACCCTATTTTTTATTTTATGCTGAACATAAAACATAAATATAAAGAAAACAAAAGAATAGAAAGGGAATATGATCTATAAAAGTATGAAGAAAAAAAGTATGCAAAAGTATTCTTGGGAAATAAAGATAAATTACAATATATCAAAGTAGTAAATAGCTAAGGTCATCAGTCAGTAAGTGTATGTGATAGGAGACATAGTTTCAATGCCATTCAAAGATATGATATTATGACATATATTTTGCAGGTTATATGTCACTTATACTGAAAACTTTTGTTTTGTTGATTAGTTTGTGTTGCTTGTACCTAATGCCGACGATTTTCCCTAAATTTTAAAATAAATTGCTTCTTCTATTCGCGTTCTTTTATCTCTGAAAATAAATAAAAACATCTAACCGCACTTAGGTAAATAGACTCTGTTCATTTACACACACCTACATTCTAAATTGTTTAAGAGTTCGTGTTGAAAGCATTTCAAAATATTCTTCAAAAAACTTCTTATTTCAGTACTTACATTGCGCGTGAAGCGTTAATAAAATCTTGTTAAGTTTCTTAAAAAAATCACTAAAGTAATTCTGTAAAACAGCAACAGAGATCATTTTGTAAATTGACCAGAACAGGGATTGCGCATTTTTCACTCAGATTTAGTTATCTTTTAGTTCTTTATATTTTTCATTTAAACCAGAAATAAATGCCACAAAATTTTAACCACATATTTAAACATTTTTTGTCTAATAATTTTTTTTCGAAAACATGGTAGTTTGTATGATTGAATGATTTGATGATGATGACGATTTGATGATCTTTTAAGTTCTTACTGGCTTGAATATTAAACACTAGCACTAATTACCTCTTATTTTTTTGGGATAATTTTTGTTTATTATTAACTTAACTAAGCGCTTCGATTTATGCTCCAACAAAATCGAAAAATTAAAAAATATACGATCTTAAAATCCGATAGATTTTCAAAAAAATATTATTAACCAACAGCTGTCGCTTTCAGAATTTTACTACCTATTTCTGATGGAGTATCCCCGTATAACCACCTACATGGGTTATTCTGAAACAGCAATGGAGAGAGAGAGAGACTGACCTCTGAAGAAGACTCAAGAAAAGGTTTACAAACACAACACGAATTGCGTGCAAAATTTATTCATCAGAAATGTTGTTCCAAGCCATTTACAATTTTTTCGTAGGCGTCAAAAACCGTCAGATATTTCTCAATCACAGTTTATGTAGGAAAATGTTATGGAACTTAGACATGTTAAACAAATCTAAGTATAATTTATTTCAGTTTCATTTGTTTTGCGGAGTCAAAAACCAACTAATTGTTATTTAATCCAAGGTAGCGTTAAAGGGAATGTGCTCATACCGGATAGGTAAGGAGCTGTTTGGATGCACTAAGACCGAAAGTTCATGAACATATCACTAAAGAAGTTGACCGCAGACCACCAAACCAAAGTGGGAAACCAATAAGACACGACATTACAGACTCAGGAATCATCTGAGTAACATTGGCGTGAAAGAAAGCAACCTACGTATAGGAAACCACGAGCGGAAAGGCCTTGTAAGGGTTTACTGGTCTACTGTAATTAAGATCATGGAGGTCCACAATAAATATGTGACTCGTCGCATTGGAAAAGGATATGGATCGACTCCCTAGGTCCACAGTCTACAATCTAGTGTTGTTTTGGCTATTTCTGTAGCAAGTTACATGTTAGCAAGCAAAGGGTAAAAAATGTGTCAAATGTTACTACGTCAGGAGAAATAGACGAAATCATACATAGTTTCGTTTGTGCCCCGTTAGACTTCCTTAAATTTGCTTACGATCCAGACGACTTGAGCCAGCAATAAAAAGAAGTGCTGAATTTGGAGCATTTCTATAAGTTATGAATAAAAAAATTGCAATTTCAACAAAATACAATATCTATATTCAAAAGAACGGACGTAATACCTTTTTAGCCAGATGTAAATTTGTTAATAGAAGATAAATCTGATGAATCGGATTTGTAATATTCTACGTCACAATATTTTAAATATTCATAAGAATCTGAATATACATATGTCCCAGAACGAATATCTTCTAAAGGTGTAGAAACAGAAATATATGGACTATCAGAAGAAGCCATGAAATAGTTTAAATAATTTATCTCCATGTTCTGCTAGGGTTCTGAAATTACGTAAAAATAACAAGAAATTTGGAACTATTTTAAGTATTTTATATAATATTACTAATTTGAATAAAACCGCAGATAGCTAAAAAGAAAACAAAAAATATTTAGTTTAACAGAGAAGGTAACAAAAAAGATGGATCGTGAAACGTCAAATGAAAATAATTGTAATATTGTCTGCACAAGGGGATTGTATTGGTATGACGGGAATGGTAAAACGGCGAATCTTAGGGAAAACATTCAAGTGACCTTTTCCGTATTTTGTGCATTATAGAATATACATCCGTTACAATAATTTGTAAAAAATGCAGTGGCGTAGGTTTTTTTATAAAAAAGAAGATGACCCCTGCCCAATTGTACACCACTGGTTGTACCTTTAGAGCTCATATTTCAAGGAATGTAAGGCCTACTCTCATAGATTATCTGTACCAGATTTTATAGAGATCGGGCAATAGATTCCGGAGATATAAACAAAAAATCAATTTTTTTAACAACTTCAACACCCTGTATCTCTAGAATGGGACTGTTTCAGACCAATGTTTGTAAGGCAAACACATATTATTATAAAGAGGTCTACCTGCCCTCGAACTTTCCTGCATAAAATTCGGACCACCCTGTATAAGGATAAACCTACGCAACTGATATACGAGGTGAGCCAATAGTAACTTCTTAAAGTTGAGGAAATTAAATCAGAAGTGGAATTATCTACTTAAATGTGATTATATATTAAAGAAAATATGTTTTAATGTTATAGAAATTAAACATTTAGCTTTTAATTTAGTAAAATTGGAACTAATTATTTTATTTAAGATCGTTAAATGGTGAAGTCTCACTATTATTTTAACACAGTCAACTAGTTTTCTTTGTGATTATTAAATCTAACATATAATAGGTAAAATGTTTAATCGAAAGGATAACTAAGTGTAGTAGGTAATATTTAAATAGTAGGTAGACACATAAATAACTTTTTACTAGGTTAAATATTATAATGAAATATAAAAAAATCTTCGGAGTTCTCAGAAATTGTCAAAGGCGACTAGAAAAAAATACCCGTTACATAAACCGTAATCATTACGATGTGTACTTACCGACATCATTTTGCTAGTCTATCCTATCATTAAAGTCACCAGTAATCAATAACAAAATCCACACATATCACGGTAAAATGCAACTGTTTCGACTTTCTTCCTACGGACACCGTATTGAGGAACACTTAGAAACCCCACCTACTTAAGAACCATTGAAATGCACCGCACAGGATGCCCGAGGATTGCACTGAATGTCAATTAATGTTGGACAGAGGCGAATAAAAAAAAACCTCCGATGTAGGTGTCCACCGACAGGCTGTATGGTCGACAGAACGTAGTTCTTCGGCAACTAAGACACTTGTCAGAGTCTCTAGATGGGCTTGGTAAGAAGGTGAAAGGCATGAGATTAAGCGGGGGAAGTTATGTATTCCTTGCATTTATCCGGTTCTTGGCTGCAAAAATTGTTAAAAAGTGGCATATCACGCCTTCCTTGGTCCATTGTTTAATGTAAAATATGGAATATTAAGGCCGGAGTTAAAGACACAGAAAAATATACCTGCTCGTTAAATTGTGTTGGTTTACAGGTTGCATTAGCAGTATAGCGTCTGGTTAATGAATGATCTAGTTCCAATCTCAGTTATGCGATAGGTGCGATAGAGATAATCTAATTTTAAGTAAAACTATCTGATCGGCAATAGGTAAATGGATATACAGAGTGTAATCAAAATGCTTCGCCAAACTTTACGGACAAATGCTACAAAAAAAATATGATCCAAAACGTTCCATTATACCTATAATGCAAATGTAGGTAGAAAAAAATTTAAAAAAGAGTGAAATTCTCTCAATATTGCATATTTTGATCATTTTTACTCATTCGTGATTATATTTAAACTGGAACTGAGTACCTTTACTCAAATATTAAATAAAATCTTCACGTCAACTTGTATTTGCTGCACTTGTACCTAAATCAGAGTAAATACCTTTATTACTGAGTGATCCCACCCTTTTTCATATCCAGATGCATTGTCTGTTCCCATCGTCCCATTAGGTTATCGCGTGACTGTGGCGTGGTGGATTTCCGTATGGCGTATGGTGTGCTTTGGAGTTGGACAAGTAACGGTTTATCTGGTTATTCTAGTGAAAATAGTATTTAAATGCAGTGATTTAAATACAATAATGAATTAAAGACAATAGGTATATTATTAAGTCTCGATTAATATTTGGTTAAATAAACGGATGCTTAAATTGTTATCTATTAATTACGTATTTCTGACGTACAATATTGGTTATGGCAATTTATTTGATCAGTGAACCAATCGAGATCTAAATGATCGTTTCTAAAACAAATCTGTGTGTAAACTACCATGACTGTTTAGTAGTTTATGACAATGATATATAAATTAAAATTACAAAAAAATATGAAGTGGTGCAAAACCAGTCCAAACGTTAATAATATGGAAGCATTTATTAAGTAAATTGTACACATTAGTAGACTTTATAACTTCAAATAACGGCTTTTTCCCAAAAATTATACAAATTTAATAAACTACAAAAAAGTTATTACAAAATGCCGATTTTCATCTCTTAACTTTAATGGTTAATATATACTATCAAAAAATGTAGATTTGAGACATTATTTTTACAATATCTCTCCTAATTTGTAATTGATGCATTATTGAGTAAAACTGAGTGAAATTTGAGTGAACTTTTTTTACAGTGTATGGAATAAAATTATTTTTGAAAAAATCATCGAACACGTAATCGACGATTTTTTTAAAAAATAAACAGGGATCACAAGACCCCTCATTTGAAATATCTCCTAATCGTCTATCCATCGGTATAATTATTTGAATATTTATTTCTACAGGTTCGACCAAAATTATGTATTTACTTAAGAAGAATGAAATTACAATAAATATTCATTCATTGAACTAACGCTAAGGACCGCTACTGGAAATAAAAAATACATTGACCGATAAAAGTACTACATTCTAAATCACTCTCGTGTCACATTTACAATTAGATATTTGTTTGGTTTAATTTGACAGGAGTTAAATAGTCATAAAATATTTAAATTAGTATAATTTAGTAATGAAGCTTACAGGAACCGAACGAATAGAAATTTTAAACATGATTAGCCGTCGAGATAAAGTAACGACTCGGACAGAATTTTGTAATTTATTTGATGCTAAATACCCCAATCGAGCACCCGTTTCTCAATCAGTAATAAGTAAAACTGAGAAATAGTTTCGAGGAACGGGCCATGTTAGAGATCGCTCCAAAAGTGGAAGAAAATCAATTCCTGAGGCCAAAAGACGTAGTACTTGCGTTTCGAGAAAATCCTAATAGTAGTTCGAGACAAGTCGCAGTGGATAATAATAATAATTTACACCAATCAATTGCTGTTAGAGTACTAAAAAAGGAAAAGTAGCATCCGTACAAAGTACATCTGGTCCAAGAGCTGTTAGATGACTTTGATAGAAGAATCGAATTCTGCGAAATCATTATGGAACGATCTGACAGAGATCACAGTTTCACAACAAGGTACTTTTTTCGTATGAAGCTGGGTCATACTTTTTTTGAAGAGAACTTAACAGGTCCTCGATATCTAGAATTTCTGTAGGATTATCTGTCGCCACAACTGAATCAGCTATTTCTAAATAGAAATGATTTTATGGTTCCAGCAAGATGGGGCGCCCCCACATTACACCGTTGATGTAAGAACTTACTTAAATATCGTTTTCCATGATAGGTGGATAGGGAGGAGAGGATCGGTCGAATGGCCACCAAAGTCTCCAGATCTGACTCCACTGGACTTCTTTGTATGAGGATATTTCAAGACCAAAGTTTATCGAAGTCGACCAAATATTTGGCACAAATAACCCCTGAAGTTCTAAAAAACGTTAGAGAAGAATTTACTGCCCGAAAATCGAGAGAATTTTTTAACTGTCCATGTAATTCAGCCCTAAAACCACTACCAACACTAACCTCTTATTCTATTTAGGTTGTAATAAATAATCATTGTTTTTTTTCAAATTAAGTTATGTACGTAGTAGTAGATATGAATAATATTTCAATTTCTTTGCCAATCAATTTTTTTCTAAATTAATGCTTTGAATAGTTTTTTAATATCCTGAAATGCAAATTTAAGCTGTTTTTTAACTAATTTCGACCAGAGGACCTTGTGAAGGAAGACGAATCAAATTATCTCGTGTACGTACACAGTTAAATGCGAAAAGTCAAGGATTACTGTTTCATATTACATTCCAACTGCAGAAAGTGGTATTACCAGGTTTAATCTCGCCGATATTGCTGCCATTAAAATAAATTCCTTCGCATGGGTATATAAATCAGAAAAAAAATAAATATGTACAAGTTTTTTTACTCCCAATGTCCTTGTAAGGAACTTTTAACAATTTAAATGATTTTTATTAAAGATTTATCTAACGAAATTGGACCTGCTGATTATTATATGATAATCAAAATTTGAGATTAAGTCAATACTCACTTCAATTAGTCCCACTTATTCGATTATATGACCTTTCTTTAAAACATTTTTAAATTTCTAATTTCTATTACATGTTAATCTGTAGTTTCAAACTCCATTATGGCTTATTAACAAACGTAATCATACCTTTGCAATTTGTTTTTATCATTCATTCGATTTGACTAATTCAGTGCAGGGGAGGTACGATATGAGATAATAAAATGAGTTGCATTTTACCCCATTTTTTTAACACGAAGTCTCACTCCTTGTCTACACTCCATAGCTCTAAGCCTGGAACCACATTTATAACCACGTGATCATCAACATCCAATTGTGTACCACCAGAGCAACTTGACACTTCGTCAAGGTCAAAACGGATTGAAGTTGGTTAATTTCAACTTTGTACGTATCACGTATCCATTAGAGCGAGATCGTTGTAGCAGAATGGCAAAGTTATTATAGACTACCCTGTCAAAACTGTTTGTTTACCTTTAGCTGTTTATTTGTATGTTTAATTTAAGAAAACATACTTTTCAACACATTATTTTCGTAAACATAAGAAACTAATTAAACGGATACAATGTTCATGCCAAAATAAGTACGGATCCGTATGATGAACATTCTCTGTGGATGGCCCAAATTTCACGTATGTATATTACGAATACAGATATCCGTGATCACGCATGCATGTGGATTCAGGCTAAGGTACATAATCCACAGTTCTGTCTGTCCTATTTCATACCTATGGTAGAGTATAACCTACTCCTCTATACATATAACATCAATGTGTGATTTAACAATACGCTGCCATCTATCTGTGGGTTATCGACTTAGCATTCTTAGCAATCCGCCATTTTATAATTTTGTCGGTGTCGGATTGTTTTGGGCTCTGCGTTTTGCCTACAATTTTATAATAATTCATGAGGAAGTGTTTAATAACCGATAAAATAACTTCTTAAACGTTTTAGATATTATTCTAGTAATGTCTAAAACATTACTTAAGTGCTGTGCAACGTCGTTCAATATAATTGCTCCTATTCGTTTTGTAAACGTATGTAACCTATAAATTCTACTGAAAAGATGTCTTTGCCACCATATTTATTGGGGCCCAATCCCTGGGCCACAATGATGGCTCAACAACACTTAGCTGCGGCCCATGCTCAAGCTCAAGCTGCAGCTGCACAAGCTCATGCTCACGCCTTACAACAGCAGATGCCTCCGCCGCATCCTAAGCCTGATGTTATGACCGAAGATAAGCTTCAGGAAAAAGGTAATACAGATTTGTCTTTATGTATTTAAAAACCTTACTAAATGTATTTTAGCGCAAAAATGGCAGCAGTTGCAATCAAAGCGCTTTGCCGACAAAAGGAAATTAGGATTTGTCGAGGCGCAAAAGGAAGACATGCCTCCGGAACATATCAGGAAAATTATAAGGGATCATGGTGACATGAGTAGTCGGAAATATAGACATGATAAACGGGTGTATTTAGGGTAAGTAAATTCTTCATATTTAGCTTTGTCCAAGACACTAAAGTAAGTTTACTGCCAAAATTTCTGTTTATTTTAAAATATTTGTACGTGTTAATCGATTTGTATTTTCATCAAAATTATATTTAACAGTGCTCTAAAATACATGCCCCATGCGGTAATGAAATTGTTAGAGAATATGCCTATGCCATGGGAACAGATTCGTGATGTTAAAGTTTTATATCACATCACTGGAGCTATCACATTTGTCAATGAAATTCCTTGGGTTATCGAACCAGTGTATATCGCACAGTGGGGTACAATGTGGATAATGATGAGAAGGGAAAAGAGAGACCGTAGGCATTTTAAAAGAATGCGTTTTCCGCCGTTCGACGACGAAGAGCCTCCTTTGGACTACGCCGACAATGTATTAGACGTAGAACCTTTAGAAGCTATCCAGATTGAATTAGATGCAGAAGAAGACTCTGCTATTGCCAAATGGTTTTATGATCACAAGCCATTGGTGGGTGGCAAGTATGTAAATGGTCCCACTTATAGAAAATGGAACCTTACTTTACCCATGATGGCAACATTGTACCGTTTGGCTAACCAACTATTAACAGATTTGGTTGATGATAATTACTTTTATTTGTTTGACACGAAAAGCTTCTTTACAGCGAAAGCTTTAAACATGGCCATTCCAGGAGGTCCTAAATTTGAACCGCTCATAAAGGACATGAATCCTGCGTAAGTGTTGAGATTCAGGATGAGGTGGTTTGTTAAATTTCGAATTTTTTTGTTTTAGGGATGAAGATTGGAACGAGTTTAACGATATAAATAAAATTATTATTCGTCAGCCTATTAGAACTGAGTATAGGATAGCTTTTCCGTATCTTTATAACAATATGCCACATTTTGTCCACTTGTCTTGGTGAGTAACTAAAAATTATGTGTAAAATTTAAATTAACGTGTTCGCGTATACCACATGTAGTTTTATGCCTTCCATTTAAATTTTGGTATGCATACTAGTGCTGTGGGACATAAAATGTGAATTGATATTCTTTCCATTATGAAGTAGTGTATGGAGAGGCTGATAAGTCACAGACATTGGAATTTCATGAAATTAGGAAATTTTTTAGAGTTAGTGAATCATATAATGAATTAGTTTCATAATTTGTGCTAATCATGTTTTGTTGTAATTAAATTTAAGTATTCACAAATTAAATAAAAAAATTGTTTTTTCTAAGGAAAAATATTTTTCAAAAATAAAATGTTTCTTTTTTTATACAGGGTGGGTGAAAAGTACCTGCAATTTTTTTTATACATTTCAAAAGGCTAATTTGCCTAATTCAACAAACCAACACACCCTTTTATTAGATCAACATTAATAATATTAAACAAATGTTCAAAATTGCTACCTTTGGCTACAATTTACTTAGCCATTTTCGAAAATTACCAAATGGTCGCATATTCTTTCACCGTAGTCTGGTCTCGGGCACGTTTCAATACCGTTTTCAGTTATTCCACCTTTGCACAATGTCTTCCTGAAGTTTTTTTGCTCCATGAAGGCCACATCGAATAGTCGATTAAGTTGAGATCCGGCAAATTCGTCAGTCAAACTTCCTTGCTTCAAAAGCCTGGAAACAACTCTTTGCAGACGGCGATAGTGAGCCGGGCATAATGTGCGGCGAAGAACACGTTTTTGGTGCTCAGCGGCACTAATTTTAACGTTCCTTCGGATGGACGCAATGGTGTCTTTCCAGTGGTACCAATGCCGCTCTCATTGAGGTCAGAAAATGGCGCTAGGATGGTTTTCACAGTGTCAGTCTGCTGGCCTTGACTGAGCAGCTGACTACGATTTTGGCAGTTGTGGAGCAATTCAATTGTGAAAGCGGCAGCGGCAATTTTGTAACCTTTGTCTTTGTCGGATCATTGAGGTGGTAACCTTGTAACTTTGCAGACCCAGCTTCTCTTTGACGATGTTTCGGACACGTTCAGAACTGATTTTGAGTTTCGTGGTCATCTTGTGCATTGAGAATTTGAGATTTTGGCATCGCACCTTGTTGATGTTCTTAGGAGTGGTGGCAATTGATGGACGTCCACTCTGAGGACAGTATGCATTTCCTCCTGTCTCCCTGAAACATTTCACAGAATTGTAGACGGTTCTATTCCTGAAACTGGTTGTTCGAATGATGTAAGCCGTCTTTATTCACGTTTTGTGTATTTTGCTACCCGTGAACAAATTTGAAATTGAATTTAAAGCAAATAATAAAAAGTACTCGTTACTATATCACTCTCAAATTATACCACAAGTAAATATCGTAGAATATAAAATAGTATCTCCATTTTCCACACTTTTTTAGGTATCACACACCTAATGTCGTTTACATTAAAACTGAAGATCCTGACTTGCCGGCATTTTATTTCGATCCGCTTATTAACCCAATATCGCACAGACATGCCGTGAAAAGTCTGGAACCTCTTCCGGAGGACGACGAGGAATATATCTTACCAGAAGCGGTCCAACCGTTTTTGCAGGAAACTCCTTTGTATACGGATAACACCGCCAATGGTATTGCCTTATTATGGGCTCCTAGACCATTTAACATGAGATCGGGTAAATAGGTTCTAATACCTTATTCCTAATAGTTTATTGTCGAAATTTTTTAGGCCGTTGTAGAAGAGCGATCGATGTTCCTCTTGTAAAGTGTTGGTATATGGAACATTGCCCTCCGGGTCAGCCGGTTAAAGTACGAGTCAGCTACCAGAAATTGTTGAAGTATTATGTACTTAATGCTCTTAAACATCGCCCTCCTAAACCGCAAAAGAAGAGATACTTATTCCGTTCGTTCAAATCGACAAAGTTCTTCCAGACGACCACTCTGGATTGGGTCGAGGCAGGTCTGCAAGTCTGCAGGCAGGGATACAATATGCTCAACTTGTTGATCCACCGAAAGAATTTGAACTACCTTCATCTGGACTATAACTTTAATTTGAAGCCAGTTAAGACTTTGACTACCAAGGAGAGGAAAAAATCGCGTTTCGGAAACGGTGATATATTTTTATCCGGTTTTTAATAGTTAATAATAAACCTTTTTATTTCAGCTTTCCATTTGTGCAGGGAAATTTTACGATTGACCAAACTAATTATCGATTCCCATGTGCAGTACCGACTGAATAACGTTGATGCTTTCCAACTGTCCGATGGTTTGCAGTATATTTTCGCTCATGTCGGCCAACTCACCGGAATGTACAGATATAAGTATAAGCTCATGAGGCAGATCAGGATGTGTAAGGACCTGAAACATCTTATCTACTACAGGTTTAATACGGTGAGAAATATTTCATTTTATCCGATATAGTTTTGTAACAATTATGACGGTTTTTTTATATTTCGGGAATAGAGAACAAAAAAAGAAATAAATCATCGTATGTGGGCTTTATTGTTTTTCAAAATATTCTCTGTGAAGGTTAATACACTTTTGCATGCGCCTGAACTAACTTTCGAAGTACTTTTTCCATTTCGATTGAGGGATCTCCATAATAATGCATTTTGAACGCATCAGCTGCTTAAGGCGTCAAAAAACCTTGACCTTGTTATTTATTTTTGATGTGCGAGAATAAAAAAAGTCATGGGGTGCCAAATCAGGGCTGTACGGTGGATGATTCATCAATTTGACTTTTTTAATTCTCAAAAAGTCTCTTGTTTGAACCGATGTGCGAGAGCCTCGCATTGACCTGGTGGAGAATGATGCGTGTTTGGCGGTTGATTTCCCTTAAACTAGTCGGGTTGCAAGTAATTTTTCTAAAATTATAAAGTACACTTCAGAAATATGCAATAAGCTTATTAAAAGATTGGTTCAAAGACCTTTTTTAAATTTGAATGTCATTTTCCAGCAAGTTACCGATTTTTAAATAAGCGCTTATTTAGCCACCTCTAGTTTTTTTACAGGGCTATCCAAAAGTCCCTGTACGGCAGAAAAACTTTCGAATGATGCATTTTGGGAAAAATGTTTCAGAAAAAAGTGTAAGGAAGTTTCCCTGGCTATCTGATGTTGATCTTGGATTTGACCTTGACTTTGTCCTTCAAGGTCATTTGAAGGTCAAGTTAAGTTTTTTAAATAGGAATCCCTATTTTTTATTGTGGACTTGAAAAGAGCAGGAAATTTTATGTCCAAAAATGGCCTCAATCATTGAAGGTCAAAGTCAAGGTCACCATCAGATATTCGGGGAAAAATCCTTACACTTTTGTCTGAAACATTTTTTCCCAAAATGCATCCTTCGAAAGTTTTTCTGCCGTACCGGGACTTTTGGATAGTCTTGTATAATGTACAATTTATCTACACACCTCAGCCATTGTTAACAAATCATTAAATCTACATGATGAACCGCGCAGGGGTCCTGAAGCCAGTTAAGCTGTAGACTGGCAATCGGTGCATTCCGATTTTAGATCGAAAATGTACTGGTTGGATAATGCGCTTCTGATCAACTTAAAACTTTACGATAAAACTTCATGTACTCGTAGAATAGATCATACAGTCACATGTAAATCGTTTTTTCAGGGCCCTGTCGGAAAAGGCCCGGGCTGCGGCATTTGGGCGCCGGGCTGGAGGGTTTGGCTGTTCTTCATGAGGGGCATAACTCCCCTTCTGGAGCGGTGGCTGGGCAACTTGCTTTCCCGTCAGTTTGAGGGCCGTCATTCCAAGGGAGTAGCCAAAACCGTGACGAAACAGAGAGTGGAATCCCACTTTGACTTGGAACTGCGCGCGTCCGTAATGCACGATATCGTCGATATGATGCCTGAAGGCATCAAACAGAACAAAGCCAGGACCATCCTACAGCACCTTTCGGAGGCTTGGAGGTGTTGGAAGGCCAATATTCCGTGGAAGGTGCCCGGACTTCCCATTCCGATCGAAAATATGATATTGCGGTACGTTAAAATGAAAGCCGATTGGTGGACGAATACGGCGCATTATAACAGAGAGAGGATACGCAGGGGCGCGACCGTGGATAAAACGGTGTGCAAGAAAAATCTCGGACGTCTCACGAGGTTGTACCTCAAAGCGGAACAGGAACGGCAGCATAATTATTTGAAGGACGGCCCTTATATTTCTCCGGAAGAAGCCGTGGCTATTTACACGACCACCGTCCATTGGTTGGAATCTAGGAGGTTCGCTCCCATCCCCTTCCCTCCTCTGTCCTACAAACACGACACCAAGTTGCTGATTTTAGCGTTGGAACGACTAAAAGAAGCTTATAGCGTCAAATCTCGTCTAAATCAGAGCCAGAGAGAAGAATTGGGCTTGATAGAACAAGCCTACGATAATCCGCACGAAGCTTTGTCGAGGATCAAACGTCATCTCTTAACGCAGAGAGCTTTCAAGGAAGTGGGGATCGAGTTTATGGACCTTTACAGCCATTTAATACCCGTTTACGACGTGGAGCCGCTCGAGAAAATCACCGACGCGTACTTAGATCAGTATCTTTGGTACGAGGCGGACAAGAGACGTCTTTTCCCGCCGTGGATAAAACCAGCCGATACCGAACCTCCGCCGTTGTTGGTTTACAAGTGGTGCCAGGGAATCAACAACCTTCAGGACGTCTGGGACGTAAACGAGGGCGAATGTAACGTCTTACTGGAGTCAAAATTCGAGAAACTCTACGAGAAAATCGATTTGACGCTGCTCAACAGGCTGCTACGTTTGATCGTGGACCACAACATCGCCGATTACATGACGGCCAAGAATAACGTGGTTATTAATTACAAAGACATGAACCACACCAACAGTTACGGCATAATAAGGGGCCTGCAGTTCGCCTCGTTCGTTACGCAGTATTATGGTTTAGTTTTGGATCTGTTGGTACTGGGTTTGCAGAGGGCGAGCGAAATGGCCGGGCCGCCGCAGATGCCAAACGATTTCCTCACCTTCCAGGATATCCAGACGGAGACTTGCCATCCCATCAGGTTGTACTGCAGATACGTGGATAAGATTCACATGTTCTTCAGGTAGGAAGTTAGAATTAATTAAGTACGTAAATTTTGTCCTCTTGGTTAAAAATGTCTATTAACGGTAAATTTTACATATATTTTTTTCTGATAAATATTTGCAGTTCTAATTTCTTTCATTTTAATAACTAATAAAATAGCTAGAAAACAACTACTCTGCTGACTAATGCCCCGACCAGTATTGAATTATACCCGCAACTGGGGATGTATCCGATACTTCGATACTTTCAAAAGTATGGGTATTTTTATGCAAGTGTCGTATCGGAATGAACGTTTGCGTTTTCGAATTCTCGTGCTTTAGAAAACCCGGACAAAACCATTTGTTTTTTCTTTATTGAAATGAGCACGAATCATATTTGTGATTTATTTACGTGCAATACATTGAACGTAATTATTTGACGAAAATGCTACTGAGGCTGTGATATTACATGTTGTGTGGAACGCACTCAACAAAATTTCTATTTTATTCCTTTTTTTACCAATTTTGTGTGCTTATTTAACATATTTTTTAATTAAATTAGAAACGTTATACGGGTGCAAAAAGTACCAGAATAACTCGGCGGAAGAGCATTTTAGAGAAAAATGTTAAATAAAAAATTTCAGGATTTCTCCCTGGCTAACCGATGGTGACCTTGACCTTGAAGATTATTTCAAGGTCAAACGTGATTTTTCAAATGTTACAAAAGTCAATGTCAAAGTCACCATCGGATAACCAGGGAGAAATCCTGAAACTTTTATATTTAACATTTTTCTCTAAAATACTCTCCTGCCGAGTTATTCTGGTGTTCCTGTACTTTTGTTAGTTTGACCTTGTGAGGGCCTCAAGGTCAAAAGGGCGGGCCAATTAAGGTCATATCAGAACGTAAAATTTTCTGCTCTGAAAAATCATTTTTGACCTTGAAATGATCTTCAAGGTCACCATCGGATAGCCAGGGAGAAATCCTGAAACTTGTATTTAATATTTCTCTCTAAAATGCTTTCTCCTCGAGTTATTCTGTCATTCCGGTACTTTTGCTGTACCCTGTATATGTGGTTATATTCATTTCAATCAACGTTTTTATGCGGTTATGTATTCGTAACTGGTACCGTTACGATATTTCAGAGTATCAATATTTTTCTGTCAAGTATTGTAACATATCGATACTTTTTAAAAAAGTAAATGTGTAAAATGTGTAGCAAAAAGCTGTGATTAATTGTTAGCCATACTCTGTTGAATAACTGCCCGCCAGGCATATACCAATTGCAAACTTATTAGTTTTTATCAGTATGCCATAGGTTGGACAACCAATAAATGGTCCAGCTATTTTCATTGTTTCAGTTACGAGTGAGTATAAATGAGATGTAACACCACTACATCTATGAATGATCACTAGTACTCCAGGCGTAGACCTTTAAACAGCCAAACTGATGGTGGGTGACCTGCTATTTCACAGCTACTGTGAAAGCAAGACCAAGGAAATTTTTTTGGCCGAATGATGACACATTCTTTGCTTTCATAGCACCTGCGAAATAGCAGGTGACTCTCTGCCAGTTTAAACATTTGAAGGTTTAGACGTTTAGTAGCAGCTACCAACTAACATTGTTCCATCTCACCTATACTCCTTCTATGTTTGATAAATATTTTGTTGCCGTTTTTGAATATGACTGGTCATAATTTTTATTTAGGTTCTCTGCTGAAGAAGCGAAGGATTTGATACAAAGGTACCTCACCGAGCATCCGGACCCGAATAACGAGAACATCGTCGGGTACAACAATAAAAAGTGCTGGCCGAGGGACGCTAGGATGCGGTTAATGAAACATGACGTCAACTTGTAAGTAATCGCGTGAGTTTAAATGAAAGCAATCTTAAGGTGAACGTTTTATTCTTGTAGGGGAAGGGCGGTTTTCTGGGACATAAAGAACCGTTTGCCCAGATCCGTGACCACCATACAATGGGAAAACAGTTTCGTAAGCGTTTATTCAAAGGACAATCCTAACTTGTTGTTTAACATGTCTGGATTCGAGTGCAGAATTTTGCCCAAGGTAGGTACTTTATTATTTTTTTTTTAGCCAGTGATAGATCTACATAAAAAGTTTTGTTACTCTATTCCAATAGTTTCATAGTTAGTTTAAAAAGGTAATACAGGCAACACAGTTAAATGCGGACACTCAACTGCGATCTGGTGCTGCCCAGTGACGGCGTAGACGAGAATAAGTGCAATTTAGAAAATGATAAATTTCTGTTACACTTTTTTCTTTAAAGTGGAAAAGTTTAGCATTTTTACTGCGATCTGGTGCTGTCCAGTGACGGCGTAGACGAGAATTAGTGTAATTTAAGAAAATCATAAATTTCTATTATGTAGAAGGCGTACTATTACCCCCAAAAAACTAAACTTTTTTCTTTAAAGTGTTATAATATTAAGGAAAAGTTTAGAATTTTTACTACGATCTGGTGTTGTCCAGTGACGGCGTAGACGAGAGTTAGTTAATTAAAGAAGTAATAAATTTCTATTATGTAGAAGGCGTAGTATTACCCCCAAAAAACAACTTTTTTCTTTAAAGCGTTATACTAAGGAAAAGTTTAGGATTTTTACTGCGATCTGGTGCTGTCCAGTGACGGCATAGACGAGAATAAGCGCAATTTAAAAAATAAATTTCTATTACGAAGAGGGTGTACTATTACCCCCAAAAAACTAAACCTATTTCTTCAAAGTGTTATAGTTACGAAACGTTTAGGTTTTTTAGGTAATTCGATTTCTTTCAGTGTCGAACTCAACACGAAGAGTTCACCCACAGAGACGGAGTTTGGAATTTGCAGCACGAAGGCAGCAAAGAAAGAACGGCCCAGTGTTTCCTGCGAGTAGACGACGAATCCATGAGTCGTTTCCATAACAGAGTGCGACAGATCCTGATGGCGTCGGGTTCCACTACGTTCACAAAGGTACCCGAACTTAAAATGTTTCAACCGTTTACTATTTTAATTTCTGTTTCAACTTTCAGATCGTCAACAAATGGAACACGGCTCTTATCGGCCTCATGACCTACTTCAGAGAAGCCGTCGTGAACACGCAAGAACTGTTAGATCTGTTGGTTAAATGCGAAAATAAGATCCAGACGCGTATAAAGATCGGTTTGAATTCGAAAATGCCCAGTCGGTTTCCTCCCGTCGTTTTCTACACCCCTAAGGAACTGGGCGGTCTTGGGATGTTGTCGATGGGTCACGTCTTGATCCCTCAGTCTGATCTGAGGTGGTCCAAACAGACGGACGTGGGTATCACGCATTTCCGTTCTGGTATAAGCCACGACGAGGACCAGCTCATTCCGAACTTGTACCGTTACATACAACCGTGGGAGTCCGAGTTTATCGATTCGCAAAGGGTTTGGGCCGAGTACGCGTTGAAGAGGCAGGAGGCGAACGCCCAGAACAGGAGGTTGACTTTGGAAGATTTGGAGGATTCTTGGGATAGGGGTATTCCCAGGATTAACACTCTCTTCCAAAAGGACAGGCATACTTTGGCGTACGATAAAGGTTGGAGGATCCGAACCGAATTCAAACAGTACCAGGTAAGATTCCCGCTGATAAAATTGTCAGTTTTAATTGTCTAGTTTATGTTTGTTGTAATTTTTGTTGGCTTTAACTCTCCGAGAACACACGAAGAACGCTCTGGGTCAATCTGACCCATGATTTTATTGATCGTGTACCATTCCCCAATGGCTGGAGCGATTGGCTTGAAAAAATTTTGGGGTACGCTTAAGGGGTTATATCAGTTTGGAGCCGGAAAAAAAAGGCTTTTTTCAAGAATTTTTTTTTGAGCATTCTTTTATAATAATCGTGGACAACCAATACACCAATCGATTAAGCAACTCTTCAAGAGTAAGAAAAAATTTTTTATTGATAATTTCTTGCAAAATCTATCTATAGGAGGGCACGAAGAAAATTAAATTTTTCTGAGATCGTCCGCGGCGAGCAGTAGAAGTCCCCTGGATCACCATCTGGAGGCATAAAAAAAATTTTTTTTATAAACCATGAGTTTAGCTAGTGTAGTACACACAATCATAATTTTAGGAATTTTTTTCGCAAACTTGCGAGACATTGAATAAAAAATTCGAATTTTCTGCAAAAAAATCGACTGATTTATAAAAAAAAATCCTGTTAACCAATAATTGTAAAAATCGTGTGTACTTCGCTAGATAATCGCACGATGAAGTTACAGTTCAATTTTCAAGTCGATCGGATGAAAACCCTTCGAGTTCTACTGCTCGCCGATTTTGAAAACATGGTTTCGGGAAAAACGCGTTTGAAGTTTGAGAACGCTGTAACCTTTGGAAATCATAATAATAAGGGGTCATAAATTTTTTTTTACCATCACTGCTATCCCGGCACCATATAATTGCCCTTCCATGGCCGTATTTTGCTCTTCCTGCTCTTTTCATGGTCATGAAATTAATGAAACGATACCCAAAAGATTCGTTTACTTCTCTTTCATACTTATCATCATCAAGTTTTGAGTTTCTTCGCCGAACTCCTGATCGCACTCGAATGAATGAGGGTTAGGCGTACGTCTATTACCAATTTTTCCTCGCTTATGGGCTGTACTTCGATTTTTACTGCCTTTATGGCCGGCATAATGTTATCAATGTAACCATCCTTGTTTATCGCACGTATTTCTTTACTTTTCCTTGTCGCTCTCGTGTAAAGGCAGATGGATCATGTGGATTTTCCAGCCGTGTATAATAACGTTTTTTTTGCTTGTCATGACATGTATGGTTCACTTTTGAAGTATTTTCTCGATAATCGGTAGTTATAGGCATTTTTAGAGCTAGAAATTCAAAAATGCTGTATCGACGATAGAAGCGAAATCTGCTATTTTTACGCTTCGGAATAATTAATTTTACGGATATTTCTGAGTTTTTTTCATGCAAAAAAGTTTTTTTTTATGAATCTAGGAATGTTTTAGTGTACTTTAAGCCAATAAAGAAAAATTAAAAACAAATTTTTTCAAGTAGTATAACCCCTTAAGAGCCGACAGAAATAATTTATGCAACAATTTAATCATTGTCTTTAACAAGTTTGAAATTTATTTGAATTTTTCGAAATTCTAACTTAATTTTTAATATTTTAATAGGGCTCTATAGCAAATAGGCAACCGGCGATACATTTTTATAGATTTTATTACACAGTTTGTCTAAATGTGAATCAATGCACAAATAACAGACTTTCCTCCATTCTAACGCAGATTTTCTATAAAATGGAGTTGGTTTGAATCTCAAATTACGTTTTGTTGTAAAGAAATTTGTAATTGTTCAAATGCGGCAAATTACAAATTTCTTTACAACAAAAAGTAAGTCGAGTTTCAAACCAACTCCATTTTATAGAAAATCTGTGTTAAAACAGAGGAAAGTCTGTTATTTGTGCATTGATCCACATTTATAGAAACTAATAAAATTTATAAAAATGTATTACTGGTTGGCTATTTGCTGTAGAGCCCTCTTAACCTTTAGCCCGAACCACAACACGCATTGTTATTAAATCTCAACTTTTAATACTGAAGCTTATGGAATTCTGTTCTCTTTAGGTTCTAAAACAAAACCCCTTCTGGTGGACGCACCAGAGGCACGACGGTAAACTCTGGAATCTAAATAACTACCGAACTGACATGATTCAGGCTCTTGGAGGCGTAGAAGGTATTTTGGAGCATACTCTTTTCAAAGGAACGTACTTCCCGACGTGGGAGGGTCTTTTCTGGTACGTAAGTTACGTACGATCGTGATCCGTTTCACTAAAACTTGTATCGCTTATAGGGAGAAAGCTTCAGGATTTGAGGAGTCCATGAAATACAAGAAACTAACCAACGCCCAACGGTCCGGTTTGAACCAGATTCCTAACCGTCGTTTCACCTTGTGGTGGTCCCCGACTATAAACAGAGCAAACGTGTACGTCGGTTTCCAAGTACAGCTCGACCTTACCGGTATTTTCATGCACGGTAAGATTCCGACCTTGAAGATTTCTCTGATTCAGATCTTCAGGGCTCACTTGTGGCAGAAGGTGCACGAGTCTATCGTCATGGATCTCTGTCAGGTAAGCGGTAGGTTGTTGTAAGATGTGTTTCATATTATTACCATTTTTTTTTTTTTTTTTTTTTTTCAGGTGTTTGATCAAGAATTAGACGCACTGGAAATCGAAACGGTACAAAAGGAAACTATTCACCCGAGGAAATCTTATAAAATGAACTCGTCGTGTGCCGATATATTACTGTTTTCCGCTTACAAATGGAACGTTTCCAGGCCTTCTCTCTTAGCAGATACGAAGTGAGTTAAAAAATTTTGTTGTATAAAAAAAATATTTTCCTTTTTTGTTGTAAGTTGAAATTTTCAATTTATATGCCGCAAACGTATTTCAAATTCTAAATGAGAAAAATTTGTCGCCCTCAAATATATTTTTGGATTACCGCTAAAAAAAATATAATTTTAGTTCGAAGTGAGAAAAATTTCACAGTGAAGTAATTTCGCAGTAAATTTGAATAATTTCACAAATTTGGAAAATTTCACAGTAAATTTCAAAAATTGCAGAGTAAATTTGAAAAATTGCACAGTAAATTTGTAAAATTTCACAGTAAATTTGAAAAATTTCACAGTAAATTTCAAAAATATCACAGTAAATTTCAAAAATTTCGCAGTATGAAAAGTTTCACTGTAAATTTGAAAAATTCATAGTAAATTTGATAAATTTCACGGCAAATTTGGAAAATTGCACAGTAAATTTGTAAAATTTTACAATAAATTTGAAAAATTGCACAGTATAAATGGAGTTAATTTGAAACTCAAATAACTTCTTCGTATAAAGAAATTTGTGATATACGATGCCGCTTGTTTAAAAGCGGCAAAGTGGCAGGAGTCGAGGACTTGTATGTAAGAGGGTGCGATTCATTAAGCCACATTTGTGCCCAGGATCGACTGATCCATAGATGTTGTTTAGTGACTTTTAACATTTCAGAGATACCATGGACAACACAACGACGCAAAAATATTGGATCGATGTACAGCTTAGGTGGGGCGACTATGATTCTCACGATGTAGAACGTTACGCTAGGGCTAAGTTCTTAGACTACACCACCGACAACATGTCCATCTACCCTTCCCCAACGGGGGTTCTTATTGCTATAGACTTGGCATACAATCTTCACAGGTAAGTTGTGTTATTAAATGAAATAGTTTAGTTTGTTTTTATTTCTTGATTTTTTACTTTTTTTTTAGTGATATTTTAGTTTTTTCTATATTTTTTTTTATTCATTTTAAACTGTTTTTTTTTCCTAACATGTGTATGTGATTTGTGTTCTCTTGACAGTTGTTGAAAGTTGGCCTAAAGATTAATTTTTCTATATTTAGTTTTTATTTCTTGTTTTTTTTTTACTTTTTCTTTTTTGTGTTTTTGTTTTTTTTATTCAGTTTAAACTGTTCTAACATGTTGTTCTAATATGTGTATCTGATTTGTGTTTTTTATTTTGATTTTTTTTATTCGTTTTAAACTGTTTTTTTTCCCAACATGTGTATCTGATTTTTGTTTTCTTCACAGTTGTTGAAAGTTGGCCTAAAAATTTAACTTATTTGTTCTATTATTTCTTGTTTTTTACTTTTTCTTTTTTTGTTTGTTTTAGTCTTTTTTATTTGTTTTGAACTGTGTATCTGATTTGTGTTTTTTGTTTTGTTTTTTTTTTATTACAAGCTGTTCTTTTTTGTACCATGTGTATTTGATTTGCGTTTTCTTGACACTTGTGTCTAAATAAGTACACTTATAAAATACTTTTAGTGCTTACGGTAATTGGTTCCCCGGGTGCAAACCCCTCATCCAGCAAGCCATGGCTAAGATAATGAAGGCGAACCCTGCCTTGTACGTACTGAGGGAGAGAATACGCAAAGCCCTCCAGCTGTACTCCAGCGAACCCACGGAACCTTACCTTTCTAGTCAGAACTACGGCGAACTATTCTCCAATCAAATTATCTGGTTCGTGGATGACACGAATGTGTATCGGGTTACGATTCACAAGACCTTCGAAGGAAATTTGACCACCAAACCCATCAACGGCGCCATCTTCATATTCAATCCCAGAACGGGGCAGCTCTTCCTGAAGATTATTCACACTTCCGTGTGGGCTGGACAGAAACGTTTGGGACAAGTAAGTTTTTTTTTTATTGAATTAGCGTTATCACTTAGCGGTGAAAAAGTTTCGGTTCTTGGAAATTACCAAAACGGAAATCCAAAATTTGAGTTGAAACCAAATTTTTTGGCGAATCACATAGTTTATAATTTACGATTCCATAGGTGTATCAGTTACGAGGGTTCCAAAAATTGTTAAGTATAGAACATTATAGAAGTTAATTTTAAAATATTTCTAAGACTTCCAGCGACATATTCACATTTCGTGCTCAAGTTCCCATATACGCATTGTTTATCGTACAACTTCCTTGATCTGTTAATTCGATCGTTTACGACTACTCCGATTATCAGATTGGCCGTCAACACCTGCACAAGAGTTTGTTTTTAACAACACTTATTGGAATAACTAAAACGTGAAAATAATACATCTTGTACGCTTATGACAAGCACTGACATACCTCTGCTGCAACGTGATACAGGACGGGATTTCTGGAAGTCGAACCATGCAGCCTCGGTGTGTCTTTTTGTATAACATGACCAGAGATAGAATTTGTCGTGTACTGTCGCGTCGGTCCTAATAAAAAAGTCTAAAAGGGGCGTTTCGTTCGATTTTAGTTGGCGAAATGGAAGACCGCCGAAGAAGTGGCAGCTCTTATTCGTTCTCTGCCGGTTGAGGAACAGCCGAAGCAAATCATCGTGACGAGAAAGGGTATGTTGGATCCACTGGAAGTGCATCTCTTGGACTTCCCCAATATCGTTATAAAGGGCTCGGAATTGCAACTACCCTTCCAAGCTTGTCTCAAAATCGAGAAATTCGGTGATCTCATATTGAAGGCCACCGAGCCACAGATGGTGCTCTTTAACCTGTACGACGACTGGTTAAAGACTATTTCCTCTTACACGGTAAGTATTTTGAGCGTTGTCAGTAAAACGACGTTAATTTTGTCCCATTTCAGGCGTTTTCAAGGCTGATTTTAATTCTGAGAGCACTGCACGTCAACACGGAGAGGACGAAGGTTATTCTGAAACCGGATAAAACTACCATCACGGAGCCTCATCATATTTGGCCGACGTTGTCCGACGATGAGTGGATTAAAGTGGAGGTGCAGCTCAAAGACCTCATCTTGGCCGATTACGGAAAGAAAAATAAGTAAGTGACTACGACATCAAAAATAATTAAATAATTATCTGTTTTTAGCGTCAACGTGGCGTCTCTGACGCAGTCGGAAATTCGAGACATTATTCTCGGTATGGAAATAAGCGCGCCTTCGGCCCAACGGCAACAAATCGCTGAGATAGAAAAACAAACGAAGGAACAGTCGCAACTGACCGCCACCACGACGAGAACCGTGAATAAACACGGGGACGAGATAATCACGAGTACGACTAGTAACTACGAGACGCAGACGTTTAGTTCGAAGACTGAGTGGAGGGTCAGGGCCATATCCGCCACAAATCTTCACCTTAGAACGAACCATATTTATGTCAGTTCCGATGATATCAAAGAAACCGGATACACGTACATCTTACCCAAGAATGTGTTGAAGAAATTTGTCACTATCTCGGATCTAAGGGCTCAGGTAAGAATATTACATTATTTTTTTATAGATGAATTTTTATTTTTGTTTATTTTTTGTTTTTTTTCCCCATATTATTTGAAAATACTCATATGTGTCATAGTTTAGTTTTTTCTATATTTATGTAAATTTTTGCTAAATGTGGAAAAAAAATTAAAATTAAGGAAATAAACCCTTATGCCATGACATTTTTGACACTAACTACTAAAAAACTATTGTAAACACTATGGCAACGACGACTGTAAAATGGGATTTCAGTATTTGGAGTCGCTGACACCACATGGCTCTCCACGCATATTATGAATGACGCTAGAGACTACATTTGTCCAGCTATGTAATGGTTAAAAGTACTACAACTTCAATAATTTTTTTCTCGGAAACTATAAGGACTTTACAATTTTTTTTATGATATTGACTCCATTTCTCATGCCCCATCTATTCCCAAATTTTTTTGGATAAGTTGTGAATCACCCTGTATACCTTCCGCTTTCTTGAATAACTGCTGCAAATCTCAGTCTGAAGTTTTAATGAGACACTGTTCATATCGGCAAATGCCGCTTCAGTAGCGGCTTTTAATGATGCAACGTTTGGATGTTTAGACTTGATGATCCGTTCAATCACGCTCCATACATAGAAGTCCAAAGGATTTAAATCTGGGCTGTTGGAAGGCCAGAATCCTGAAGTTTGTCCGATACACTGTACTGCCAGAAAACATGACTTTCTAAATGACACAGTTTCCAAACGGGTTCACTGCATTAGTCAGAACACACTAAAACTTTTTGAGATATGCCACTTGTCCGACTTAAATAAAATGCAATTTTTTTTATGGTGAAAAATTTTGGGTATGTTTCAGGGAAAACAATTATTGTCGATAATAATAAAATGGATCCTCTCTAGCCCTATTTCAAAACACCCTGTATACTACTTTATCACATATTTGTTCCTAATTATTATTTTTTTTTTCACTTTGGTTATTCACATATTACTTGACCGTTGTTTAACATTTTTTTAGTCAAATCATTTATTTTTTCTTTCTATAAACCGAGAATATTTGAAATACCATTTCTTTACAGATATGCGCATTTTTGTACGGCGTGAGCCCGCCGGACAATCCCCAAGTCAAAGAACTCCGATGTCTAGTCCTGCCGCCCCAGTGGGGTACCCACCAAACCATTCACATACCGAACACTCCACCGAATCACTCGTTCCTTAAAGATATGGAACCGCTCGGATGGATACACACCCAACCGAACGAGTTGCCGCAATTATCACCGCAGGACATCACGACGCACGCCAAGCTGATGTCCGAAAACCCGACGTGGGACGGGGAGAAGACTGTGATCATAACGTGCTCCTTCACCCCTGGGTCTTGTTCCTTGACGGCTTATAAGCTGACGCCCTCGGGTTTCGAGTGGGGTAGACAGAACACCGACAAGGGCAACAATCCCAAGGGTTATTTGCCGAGTCACTACGAGAAAGTTCAGATGTTGTTGTCCGACAGGTTCTTAGGGTTCTTCATGGTGCCGGCGCAGGGCTCTTGGAATTACAATTTTATGGGTAAGTTAAAAGTCAAAGTATGCAAGTGTAAAATGTGATTTACGGAAAAAATTGAAGACTTTTAAAAGTTTCTGTTCTTGGAATTCGTGTTGAACGGAAGGACGGTGTAGAAAGTGTTTAAACAGTTTTATATTTAGAGAAAAAAATTGATGCTTTTTTCAAAAGTACTTTTATATCATGCTGCATTTTTACTTTTTTGTCCACGCTGTATATTAGTTTTTATCAATTGCTTTATTACCACAAATTTTTGTGTTCTGGTTTGGATTTTGTGGCGAGAGTTGCTTTTGGTGTGCAGCAAAATGAAACTCTCTCAGTGGTAAAAAATAAAAGTATTTTTATTAAAAACGAAGTGTGGTGAAAGGAAATGTTGTCGGGGCGAGCGTTCGCTTGAGAGTCTTCTTGTGGAGTCATTCGCAGGTATATATATCTAGTCCCTGGCGCCAATCTGACGTGAACCTTTTCCTGGAACTTTAGTGTGTGCGTCCCACGTCTGTTCTTTGTCCTTGCAGACCGGTTTGGCGTCAGGCTGGCACTCTTGATGTAATACTTAAAATGTGCAGACGTGTAGTAGAATATGAATAAGATGGGCCAATTTTGACATTTTTAAGAAGTTTCTCATATTTCCTAAACAGACATACAAAAAGGGACAAGATTTTTATAAAACAGTAGGTTCACCGACAACGGCAAACACTGGTACAAATGCATTTGAGTGGTTCCTAAATCCAGGGGTGTAGTCAGATTTTTATAAAAAAAATTGCAAACAAAATTTTGCTATTTTTCACTTAAAAAAAATTCGTAGTAGGCCTTGAAAATCAAAATTTCTTCTTCAAATTTTGCATCAAGATAGAGCTTTTGGAGGTCTATCTTTAAAAAGAAACCCGGTTCAAATCGGTCCATAAACAACTTTTCTATGCGAGTGTTTCCGTTCTTAATGGGTCACCTTGTATGCTAAATAATTATTCTTTCAGGCGTTCGCCATGATCCCAGCATGAAGTACGAATTGCAACTGGCCAATCCGAAAGAATTTTACCACGAGGTGCACCGGCCGGCGCACTTCCTCAACTTTTCTTCGTTGGAAGACGGTGATGGGGCTGGAGCAGATCGAGAAGACGCTTTCGCATAAACTTGACATGTATTTTTCTGTGGTTCAAATATGTTCTAAAGCTAAAAGTATAGAGACTGTAGGTTAAGAAATAGGTTTGTACATATAAGGTATTTTCTTTTTAAATAAATAATTGATTTAATTGTTTTATTTGTGATTCTGGTAGTTCGCAATTATTTCGTGTCGATTCGAATCCTACAAAACGAAGTTATTAGAATAAAGGTAAGTTTTAATTTTGACACCCTGTATTTTGAAAATGGGGCTTCGAAATGAAAAGTGGCATAAGAAAAGTCCCATTATTTTAGTGCAAAAAATATGTGGTTAACGGGTTGACCTACTAATTTGTAACATTAGTATCAAATTAAAATTTAAATAAGTATTTTTTTCCACGTTAAAATCTTGGCAATGCTAAAATGTGGCCGTCAGAGCCATCTATGTGTTTTTTTACGATGTGAAGCATGAATGAATCTAGTTGGCGTTGAAGTAAAGTTTCCATCGATAATATGATGAGAGGCAAAAACGTTTTAATTTTTGAGTTGGTATTTTTTATTGTACCATTCGGTTAAACCTGTAATTACATTTGCATCAGAGTAAAATATTTATACAGGGTGTCCGGTAAATAATTGATAACCTTTTAACTGGATGGGGGACCCTAAAGTCGTTCAGAAAATCGACTTTTGTCTTTAAAGTTGCTTCGATTTTGTTATTTCTTTTTTTTCGAAATTTCCGTCATAGGTTACTTAATTGGTCACTATGGCCATAAGAGAATGCATTATCTTTCACTTTGCTGAACGACCTTAGGGTCCACCATCCAAGGTTAAAAGGTTATCCTTTATTTACCGGACCCCCAATATAATTAATATCGCACAAAAAAATATGATATAAAGGAATTTCCGTTTTTATATTTGCACCAGGCTCTGGATGGTGAAAATCAAAGTGGTTATATTTTGATAATGAAACGGAAGCAATACCGATTTCAAATGATTTCTAGGTCCACACAAATCTTGAAAAAAGCTGAACTTACCTCTATGTGAAAAATATTTTATAAACTGACAAGATACAAGCAGACGTGTCCTTATTTTTGACAAAATTTCAACGTTAACGATGTTCGGAAAATACATATATTGTTAGTATCAAATTAAAAATTAAATAGATATTTTTTTCGGTTAAGATTTTGCCAATATTAAATTTTGTGGTCGTCAGAGCCATCTATTATCCTATAGCGGAACTACATGCATATCCTCGGGGAAACTGTTAATAGAGGGCTCTATTTTGTGATATAATTGGGCGTAAATATTAATATTAATAATAATTAATGTATAATACAACTGTATTATATTTACCTGCGATCTCAGTATTTCTTTTTCACGATAGAATATCGGCAATTCAAAAGTGCAGCCGCCAGAGCCATTTACTATCATAGAGACAAACTATGTGTTTAACTTAAGGGCACTGTCCATAAAGGACTCTGTTGTAAGTAAATAGACGTCAAAATAATAATTAATGTATAACAATGTTATATTTACCTAAGATCTCTTTATTGTTCTTTCTCGATTAAATATAGGTAATGCTAAAATGTAGAGTGACTAGATATGTACTAAATTCTTAGAATATAAATACATTCGCTGGAGCCATCTGCTTTCCTAAAGCGGAACTATGTGTTTAACCTCGGGAAACTGTCAATAGAGGGCTCTATTTTGTAGCATAATTAGGCGTAAATATTAAAATTAATAATTATTTATGTATAATACAACTGTATTATATTTATCTGAGATCACAATATTTCTTTTTCTCGATAAAATATCGGCAATTCAAAAGTGCAGCCGCCAGAGCCATCTACTGTCCTAGAGACAAACTATGTGTAACTTAAGTACACCGTCAATAGAGGGCTCTCTTGTAGTAAATAGGCGTCAAAATTAAAATTAATAATAATTAATGTATAACAACGTTATATTAAGCTGAGGTGTCTGTGTTTTGCTTCCTCCATAGGTAATGATAAAATGTAAAGTCACTAACACTAGATATAACTAAATCTAAGAATATAAATGCACCCGCTGGAGCCATCTACTGTTCTAAAGTAGAACACTGTGTTTAACCCCGGGAAAGTGTCAATAGAGAGCTCGATTTGTAGTGTAATCTGGCTAAAAAAATAAAATTAATAATAACGTATAATACAGTTGTACAAAACACACCTGAGATCCCGGTATTTCTCTTTCTTAATAAAAATCGGTAGAGCTAAAATCAGCCATCAGAGCCATCTATTACCTGAGAGTCAAACTACGAGTTTCATCTCAGCAAACTATCAATAGAGGGCTCGATTTGTAGTGTAATTAGGTAGAAATATTAAAATTAAATAATATTTAATGTATAAAACAGCTGTTATATTTACCTATAGTCTCAGTATTTTTCATTCTCGATATTAACAAAGCTAACATACAGCCGCCTGAGCCATCCATATGTTCCTGGTGTCGAACTGTATGTTTAACCTCAGCAAACTGTCAATAGAGGACTCTCAATTTGTAACGTAAATACTGAGCAATATTAAAATCATTAATAATTAATGTATAATACAACTGTATTATATTTACCTGCGATCTCAGTATTTCTTTTTCTGGATAAAATATTGGCAATTTAAGAATGCAGCCGTCAGAGCCATCTATTTTCCTAGAGACGAACTAAACTTAACCTAAAGTCACTGTTAATAGAGGACTCGTAAGTAAATAGACAGCAATTTGAAAATTAATACTAATTAATGTATAACAATGTTATATTTACCTGAGATCTCTTTATTGTTCTTTCTCGATTAAATATAGGTAATGCTAAAATGTAAAGTAACTAGATATATACTAAAATCTTAGAATATAAATACCTTCGCTGGAGCCATCTACTTTCCTAAAGCAGAACTATGTGTTTAACCTCGGGAAACTGTCAATAGAGGGCTCTATTTTGTAGTACAATTAGGCGTAAATATTAAAATTAATAATTATTTATGTATAATACAACTGTATTATATTTATCTGAGATCACAATATTTCTTTTTCTCGATAAAATATCGGCAATTCAAAAGTGCAGCCGCCAGAGCCATCTACTGTCCTAGAGACAAACTATGTGCAACTTAAGTACGCTGTCAATAGAGGTCTCTCTTGTAGTAAGTAGGCGTCAAAATTAAAATTAATAATAATTAATGAGATCACGGTATTTCCATTTCTTAATAAAAATCGGTAGAGCTAAAATGAGCCATCAGAGCCATCTACTACCCTAGAGTCAAACTACGAGTTTCATCTCAGGAAACTGTCAATAGAGGGCTCGATTTGTAGTGTAATTAGGTAGAAATATTAAAATTAAACAATATTTAATGTATAAAACAGCTGTGTTATATTTACCTAAAGTCTCAGTATTTTTTGTTTTCGATATTAACAATGTTAAAATACGGCCGCCTGAGCCGTCCATGTTCCTGGTGTCGAACTGTATGTTCAACCTCAGCAAACTGTCAATAGAGGACTCTCATTTTGTAACGTAAATACTGAGCAATATTAAAATCATTAATAATTAATGTATAATACAACTGTATTATATTTACCTGCGATCTCAGTATTTCTTTTTCTGGATAAAATATTGGCAATTTAAGAATGCAGCCGTCAGAGCCATCTATTTTCCTAGAGACGAACTAAACTTAACCTAAAGTCACTGTTAATAGAGGACTCGTAAGTAAATAGACAGCAATTTGAAAATTAATACTAATTAATGTATAACAATGTTATATTTACCTGAGATAAATATTGGTAATGATAAAATGTAAAGTCTTCAGATATATACTAAAATGCTGCCGCTAGTGCCATCTAGTTTCCTATTGTAGAACTATGTGTTTTATCTCAGGAAACTGTCAATAGAGGGCTCGATTTGTAGTGTAATTAGGCGAAAATATTAAAATTAATAATATTTCGTTCAATCATTTTAGTTCTCTCTGTATAAAACAGCTGTATTGTATTTACCATAAAACAGAGAAAAGATATTTACCTAACATCTCAGTATTTCTCTTTCTCGACATTAGCAATGCTAAAATACGACCACCTGTGCCATCTATTTTACTAGCGTCGAACTATATGTTTAACCTCAGCATACTGTCAATAGAGGGTTCTCATTTTGTAAAGTAAATACTCGGCAATATTTAAATGAATAATAATTAATGTATAGAACAGCCGTGTTATATTTACCTGAGGTCTCAGTATTTTATTTTCTTGATAAAATATTGGCAGTGTTAAAATGCTGACACCTGAGGCATCTATTTTCCGAGAGTGGAACTATATTTGTTTAATCTCAAGAAACAGTCCATAGATGTCTCTCATTATGTAACGTAACTGGCAATTTTAAAATTAATATTTGTTAATGCATAATACAACTGTTTTGTTTACCTGAGATCTCAGTTAATCTTACTTAATGGAACAATCAACATTTAAAATGGATGAGATTAGCCGTTGTATATTTTTCTATGAATTGTCTACAAAACAGACATGAAGCAGAGATTCTTCTGATTTCAATTTAAAAAAATCCATGTCACTGCTAAACCAAATTCATTTAAGCTCTGAGGGTAGGATGCGCAGTGGCAAATAACGGATCTCATTTTACATTATATACCCTTTTTCTGATTTGCGCGTTTCAACCGATATTATTTTGAAATATTAACCAGGTTAATTGTTTAAAATATTTTCCTATTACACTTGAAATTTAACATGTTTAACCTCTTTAAAATATAATCTACAAAAAAGTAAGTGGGACATTCCTTTACTTTTTTTTTTAATTTATGGGTATCTAAGGATTTGAGTGAACAGAAATACATCTTATGGATGCCTCGAATTGGAACGTTCAATTTAGCAAAGGACGACACCTTTTTGGATACGCATAAAATGTGCACATTAACACTTCTCCTATTTATAACTTAACGCATACTTATCATTTTTTTGCAGTAAGTCCCTTGTTGACTGTAAAAAATAGGAAGGTATATGACTTCTCCATTTATTAGACAAATCAGGTATATTTAATTCTATGGAATTTTATTCTATAACTAAGATATATATAAATCATATCATTATAAATATCAATACTTATATATTAGGCGATGTAAATTATATTATAAATATGATTTTTAAAAATATATGTCCCTGCCGTCAGTTACAGATGTAGTACCATCTTCTTGGGATTTTTTCAGTTTTTCCACTTCGTAAGATTTGTTACAGCAAGGGGCTGCCAATATAACTACCCTGCACAAACAAATAAATATATTTATAATTTATAGGATTTAATTTACTTTGTTAGATACCAGGAGACCATAGGATTCATAACAAATGGTATTTGGTACATCTATACAGGAGACGTTAACTATTAATATAAAACAAGAGGAATAATACTTCTTCCAATAGTATAAAAGTATAACGTATTATATTTCTGCAGGTACGTATTTAAAGAACAAACTTTACCAATACTTTTTGACATTAGAAATTGCAGGTTCTGTTTTTATTATTTTTCTAACTATTGTTCAATATCTGAAATCAATTTTTCGAAGTTTGAAAATTTTATTTCATAGCAAGAAAGCATTAAATTTTACTGTTTTACTCTTTCCTTTAAATTTTTGACATACTTTGTTGTGCTTTATTTAACTACGTATTTCTTTTGTACTTTGTGTTTAACCTCGGGAAACTGTCAATAGAGGGCTCTATTTTGTAGTATAATTAGGCATAAATATTAAAATTAATAATAGTTTATGTATAATACAACTGTATTATATTTACCTGAGATCTCAATTTTTGACATACTTTGTTGTGCTTTATTTAACTACGTATTTCTTTTGTACTTTTCTCAATAGAGTATATACTGAAAACAGAAATAAAAATGTCTGTCTCAGTGCCATTACTGGGGAATAAACCAATATTAAAAAAAAACATCTAAATTAAATTAGTCCCTAATTGATTTGGATTTGTAATTGATAATACAATTGTTGTTTGAATACGAACAAATAAAAATATTAGGAAAACAGCATAGTTATTTTGCTAATTTAAGTATTATAAATATAAAAGTAATACAAATCTCAATTTTCTGTATATTCGACAGGGAAGACTAACCTGTTTACTTATTTTTACCACATAATTACATATTTATATATACCACAGTGGAGAAAATATGTAAATTGGCTACCAAATTTGCATAAAAATAAAAGACTAGAAATAAACTATAAAAATCAACAGACTGTCGTTAAATACCTACCAATTTACCTTTACACATGTAGTTTTTATATTACCTTATAGCATTTCTATTTTTATATTTTTTTCGCTGTTCAATAGACTTCAGTTAATATCTTTTTTTGTTGCAGTTGATACATTTTTTAAGTGATTATTTTAAATGATTGCCACAGATTGACAGATACGGTAATACTCGTCAAAATAAAAAAAAAAAGATTCGTATGAATATATACGTTATAAGAGAGGTGTTAACAAAAAAGTTAATGGTGCTGACAAAAGTTCAATTAATATTGGGCTCGTAAGTGTTTTCCATCATAACCTTTTAAATTTCCAACATTTCCGGAAGTTTGCATGAAAATTCGAAAAACTTTTAGTCTAGTCGATATCTGTTTCGGGAAGCTGAGAAAAAGTCGATTGAAGTTGCGCTAGTAAATTATGCTGCTCGATTGCTGTGAAATGTATCAATCTTTTTTGCATCAGAACAGTTAAAATACATTTCCGATTTAATCAAATTTTCATAGTTATAAAGTCTTTGCTTCAAACAATCAAAATCACTTTTGATTGTTATTGTATAGTACAAGTAGTACAACTTTAATCCACATTTACACTCACTTAAACTTGCGATAATACATGATTATCAGCTATGTCAATTAAAGTCAGCTATTAATTTATAAACTATCAAATATCAAAGTCTTGGAAATGTAAATAATAATAATAATAATTAATAAAATCTAAATTTTTTTCATGTGTTACCAACTTTTTGGTAGACACTACAATAATTTTTTAAACGTTATTCTGTTTACCTCTTCTTGAATGACCTCCATACTTCCTTCCTATAGACGAATATTAAAAATATTATAAGACCATAAATGGCATTGCAAAAGTCGGATATGTACCAAATGAAGAAAGTGTCAGCATGCGGATCTCTTTCTGCTTGTCTCATTTCTACTGCCCACGATACGATCTCCAAGCTCCAGTTAATACCCATTGCCAAAAGTAGTTTCAAATATAAGTGGAACCTATAAAAAAAATGTAATAAACAGTTTCATTACATACTAACCTAACTTACTTTTGTTTGTCGTATTCATACGAGCTCCTTTTTGTACAATGTTGAAAACCTATCGTGTCTTTTTTTATTTTATGTATCTTTATAGCTGTCAATATAAACAAAATAATGTTCAGGCCTATAATAACTGTTATTGGCCCATAAAAATACGCAAAAGTTGATCGTAGACCATCTGAAAGCATTAATATACTATAGTTCCTAAAATAGACTTTACTTCAATTGTCCCACCTTCCAAGAAACATTTACTTCTTCCAACTCCCGGATAGTACGGCGAATTCGGGTCACCAAACGTGTTAAATATAAAAACCAAAAATACGTGAATAAGGGGTAATCCCCAGGCGTATATAAAATAAATTATGAAACGTCTCCTCTCCGATTTCGTTTCTCTGGTAAAATTTGCTAAACCCCTAAAACAAAATGTAACTGTTGACTTTCTAACAAAAAATTTTGGCAGCTGACTTACCCAAAGGCAAACCATGTATCGAAACACATAATGTTCATCCAAAAGATTGAAGCCATGAAGAAGAATATGATGGAGTAGCCTAAAATGATTATGAAGTTTTGGTAAATTACTTTCTGAAAACAGTAATTATAATTCAAGTTAACAAATTGGAAGAAAGGTTCTCAGTAATCTCAATAACATTTCGATTTATTCCAGTTTAGTCAAAAGTTCCTAGAGTATACCAAACAGCATATTCCTTCATCTTGATAAAATTAAGGAAAAGAATATATCTTTATTCTAATTATCATAGGATTATATAGGAGTATGTATAGGTATTATGTTGCTGCTATTGTTGTTTCATCATCTGAACGCAGCGTATATTAGAACTACGAGAATAAAAGTGTTATTTTTTTCCGATCTTCGACATTTAGAGAATTCATGATAATAAGGGTAATACCTAGAAAATTTGGAAGTAACATACAAGCAATTGTTCTTGTACTCACCTATAGTTTGGCATGGAACAGGCTCGATATAGCCCGGGTATAGTTGGACTATAACTAGGAACACGTAAGCCAAAAATAAACTCAAAGAGTAGAACATTATCACTTTTCGATGGACACTGGCATTTGGCACCATAGCAAAAACTAAGAACGTAAGGACGAGGAATGGCATCGATATTATCATACCTAAAATATTACATTGTTAGAAACGAAATAAATTACTCGTCCATCATGCATCAGATATAACAAAAACAAATATCTTGCGAAAAATTTATTTGGAAGATTGAATATGTATTCTAATATTGCCTAGATATATTTTCGTATCTAGATTTAGGGGCCTGCTAATGTTATCTTCCAAAAAAAAATACTATTGATATTTCCGAAAATAAACAGAGAATCTAGTTTTAGTTATTAGATGGAATTAAACTAGTCTATATTTATTTCTTTAGGATTAAATACAATTTTATGTTTCTTTCAAACTAGTATAAAATTCAACAGCTTATTATATCGATTTTGAATCACTGTTAAATACTGCATGCAGAATATTTCATTGTAATTTATATTTATATATTAACAGACATTTTCTGCTTGAAGTTCTTTATAGTCATTCAATAACAAAAATCTGAACATACTGGTAAATGTATCTAAAATTGAGTATCATTTGATCATAAGATGAAACATAGTTTAAATTTCTTTAAAACTTAATATCTTATTATTTAAAACTTATATCGATATCTAACATTTTTATCTGCTGTTCCACTAAATTCTGTATTGTTCCATTCTGATACGTCATACAGTGATTCTTGTAAAAGAAGTGATGTGTTATTCAACGGAATTGGTTGCGTATGTTAAAATGGGAAAATATTTGAAAAATCTAAATAATTAAAGTAAATTCCTGTGCATGTGCAAGTACTTTGAATTGATAGATTTCAGCATGGTATCTGATTGGCATCTAATCTTCTGAGACAAAAAGGTCAATTAAATATGGTTTCTATAAATTTACAAAAATTAGACAAATGTCTCACATTGAGTACAGAGAAATACCGGTCTATCAAAATATTTAGGAGATTAAAATGATTTTCATATTAGATTTATCTAATTCTTATTAGACTGAAGCTTATTTATTTTTATCGTTTCGTTGTTATTTTGTGATGTATCAACCAATACCCTATATGTGATTTGTTATATTGTCAATAACTTTTTGAAAAAAAGAGTTGAAAGTTATTACCTACAGAGTTAACTATTCTCGAGACATATACGCTCGGTTTTGTGTTCGTGTAACACAAAAAAACCGTCAGACCATCCTCCTCATCAACACAATACCTGCTGCTGTCATAGATTTTATATCGGGAAGCAGGATAATACAAACTGCCATTCTCCTGTATATATACCCTTTCTGTTATGTCACTGTTGTTTATTTTGAAATACTGCCAATCGTCGTTCTTACAGTCCAGCATACCAATCATGAAATTATCCTCTACGGTCAAATTATAAATATTTTCGCGTCTGCTACATATGGGCACGTTGAAAGAATGAGATTCCTTCTTGATACAAACGCTCTCGAACACGTTTTCGAACGCATCTTCGTAGTGTTGTAAATAAAAACCTTTCTGGCAGCACTTCCTGATGCAAGGTCTCGTTTTTTCACAGCCACAGTTTTGTGTGATGTTCTTCGTGTAACTTTCATAGTTGGAAAAATTACTGCACAGGTCTATTACGTCTTCCGCAGCACTATTATCACTCGCGATATTTAAAACCGCAAAACTCAACGCTAACAGTACTTTCATATTTACAGCTCTATTGTAACCATGATGCTGGTATTAAATAATAAAATATTCATATAAGTGGATCCGAATATCACAAACTGGTCTTCGGCTGCTGCACGGAAAGGTCACATGAAAAAAAGAATACGGGTTTTTCAAGAACTGTTTACGGTTGTTTATAAGTTAGATGGATATTTTTACTACCGATTTTATTTATTTACCCCATCGGCATGTACCACCAGAAAATGTAAAGTACTGTTATAACGTTACAACACCGAACCCTCAGACTTACTGAATCATAAATGTGATACATATGCGATTCTACAAAATACAGACAATGGATTTCCGGATTGTTGCGAAAAAATTAACTTTTAAAGATTGGGAATCCACATATACAAGAATTCAGATAACTAATCTGCGTATCGGACGGGCGCTACCGAGAGCTGACGAAGTTGAAACGACAGTTACTACTAAGTTGGATACAGGCTAGATTGAAATTTGCTCGCGCATGTCATCAGCATAAGTATACTTGGAAAATATAAGAGAATCTGCATAATATGTATTTATACTTGCAGATGCGATAAAACATAGTTTGAATTCTTATAATCTAACTGTTTATGTATGCTTCTGCACTGAGTCACCCAGCTCAAATTTCAGTCTCTCCTAAACGCTTCAATAATAACTTTTGTAAGTACTTAATTATAACGGGTGATTTTTTTAATTCGTCGTCAAAAAAGTTAATTCATTTTGCAAATTTCGAATAACTGGGAAATTGTTACTTGTAGAAATGTAAATGGCTGGTAAATAATGTACTTTCGGTGTAACTAGAAACAACGACGTGACATGGAAGTTTCCTTCGCAGACCAGGGCGGATCTGTTTTGATTTTGTGGATGTGAGAGGGGGCAACCAATTTTTTTCTGGATTAACTTCAGTACAACTCACATAATAAAAGTGTAGATCCCTAGATCTGTGCGAGGTCCGGAACGTTTTCAAAATTGCAACTATGTTTAAAAATTTTTTAAAAATACCGAGTTTTTACTTATATCTTGGAACCTATGCAATTTGGAAGAATATTGAAAAGGAAAAAAAGTTCTAGAATTGAATTTTGCATAATATACTGTCAGTTAAAAACGTTTAAATTTATTACCGATGTTGCAAAATAGCAATAATTGATGAAAAAAAGGCAAAATAATAAAGTTTTTTGGATAATTTTTTAAAAATATTTTAATTATTCCGAGGGCATCCTAATTTTGGTAAAAAAAACTATAATAGTATAATAAAACAACACACTAAATTTAATTAAAATCAGTTCTATAGTTTTCGCAAAATATTTTTTTCCGCTGATTTATCTATGTTACCGATAACTTATGGATATGAAAATTTTCTCCAGCTTAAAACTCGGAAAAACGAAGCCACTATTGCTAAATTGTTTATAAATTAACGGTAAATGCCGATAAATTGTAACCGCTTAGGTATATCTCGAGAACCAATAAACGGAATTTAATTTATTTTTTAAAGAAGCATCTTTTCGAGTACTTTCAAATTATAATTTTTGAAAAAACTAAATTTTAAATTGATAAATGTAATATAATTATTTAAAAATAGAGAAAAAATGCGAAAATTTGAAAAATTTACTGTGGCCATTTGAAAGGTTGAGCGGTCTTTTCGATGTGAAAAAATTTTCAAGTATCTAGATGCTTTATTTGAGGCTACATTCTGAAAATTTAAAAATTTTTGTCAAAATTTAAATTTTCAATTTAAATTATTTTGCGAAAACGTAGAACAAGTTTTAATGAAATTTGGTGTGTTGTTTTAATATACTCTAATTTTTTTTTACCAAGTTAGAATGCCCTGGGAGCATATAAAAATTTGAAAAAAAAATATCCGAGAAACTTAATTTTTTTTCATCAATTCTGGAAAATTAAAGGCACAGGGATAACCTTTCGTGTCTTAGTATAAATTGCTACTATTTATTTCTTGGAATATATTTTAAAATAGCTAAATAACTTAATTTACTTTACATTCATATTTGAATCGTTTGCTACTCTAGTTTGCCAGGAACAAGTTTTGAATTATGTACCTACCTATATCTCTAAAATAAAGATAACTTTGTCACACGACAATGTATAAACTGCGTCACTTTTCAGGAAAATAAATATTCAAGGTAATGCATATTTTATTGCTGACAGTTATTAAGAAGTCATACGAGAAATCTGGGAATGTTAAGGATAATTATGTCTGCGTTATTAAACATCAACCTTCGAACCTTCTGATTTGTTGCATAATTATTAGAATAATCGCAAATCATTAATATTTCATCTACATTAAATTTCTAGAATTGCATAAATTTGTAGTCTGTAACAGACAACTAACAGTGGTATAAAAAATAATTTCTGTAATTCTACAAATTAATTATAGACGTTTAAAATTATGTAAAAATTCGAATTTTGTCACGTGAGAAAGAACGCATTGTGACATCATTTAGTGCGACCTGCCTCTAGTCTACACCTCCTTTCTTTGCTGACGAGACGGAACCTAATCTAAAGAAACGCGCATGTCAGAAGCCTCCAAGTAAAGTGAATTTCGCTGTTTCTAGATACTAGACTATACTGTCAGGCAGTTCTGTACCTGTCATTCATCTTTCCGATTCTCGATAACACTAAATGACGTCATAAATTAGCGCGACATCTAGTATTCTTACTACATGATTATGTGGGTTGCTCTTTTGAGGAAAAGTTGAAGGAGACGTTAAATAGACAAATAAGAGTGAAATAAAAGTTTAGCTTTTAAAATTATGTGTCAAATGTGTCAAATACGACATTCAGGGATCTAACTATTCCCATGATTAACTTCCATGACTGAAAAAGCAGAACATGTTACAAATGCAGTGAGTGAGTACTTGGTAAAAAGTGTTTATGAAATTATAGTAGCTAATCCCTAGTGTAACTGTAACATAATGCGAATCTTACGTTTGGATTTGGACGATAGTCGAGTGTAATCGGTATATCCGCTACATTCAACATCTTTACTTTTTTTGGTATACAAGATGCTAAAATATTTTTAAAATTCGTTTTCATATATACTTTCCAAACACAATTTACATTTATAAAAATTTTAAATACGTTTAGACTTTATAATTGATAATATTAATAAATGAAAAGTAAAAGAAGTCTTTTAAAAACAAGTTTTTACTAAAATGCACTAAGAAGAAAAAATAAACCAAGGTGTTTATAAAACCCGTAATATTGTGTAAACCCCAAACCCACGAAAGGATTGAATATGGCTGCTCTATAGAATTGCCATCATACTATCTACTATCAGTATGTTCACGTTCTTATGCGATTTAAAAGCTGGTTTGTACAAATTATATAAAAATTAACACTAAAATATAATCCAACTAGTAATTTTTTTACTACTTCATACTGCATGTATTGATTTCGAGTGAAACAAATATGTGTTTTATTCAGATTTATTTAAAACAAGGAGTTCCCATTGCCATAGTAATGTAACAATATATTACCAAGATGTGAGACTAAATAAAGGTTAAGATAAAACTTTCAGATATAAATCTAATCCCTTAAAGCTAATATGAAAAATATAAGCACAAGAAAGTAATTATACTTTTAACTTTAACTTAAAAAATTACTATGGCAATATAAAACTTTATTTTACAATGAGTTAATTAATTTCATTGTTTATTTGATTGTGAGTACAAAATTAATACGTGTTCTACTTGTTTTCGTTTTAACATTAGAGAATGTCTGATAAAACAAGATGGAAAATTTAAATAAGACTACTACACCTTATTAGCGCTGAGTAAAACACATTTTAATTTTGAGGCAACATTCTTTTCTCTCCTCTTCCTTTGTTGAGTTCACTTCAACGGTGGTCGTTGAGGCCAGTTTCTGTGGTGGAGTAGTTACTGGACCGAGTTGTTTGGGATTTTTTTCAATGAATTTGTTATACCTGAAACGCAATCAAACACGCAAAGGGTGATTCCTCTTATTATATCGACAAAACCAACACCCGCAATTGTAATAGTATTGATTACAGTTGATATACGATTAATATAATACCTAACTTCATTTAATTCAATAACTCTCTACTTCAAAAGTAGAGTGCGTAGTTCTTTTGACGTGTATTCTGTGTTTTATGCTTGATTTTACATCTTGGGAAAAGAGAAACTGACTAAACATGACAATTACAAGCAATTTCCTTACCGTTTCCTAAGGAACCGCCAGATATTCTGCTTGAAGAAGAATATGAAGAAAATGAGTGTGTACATTATATTGCTGAAATCCGTTAAATACCAGACATACGAAGGAATACTTTTCGCGTACCAGTCAATTGCCCACGTTATTATTTCCATGATCCAATGAATACCCACGACGAATAACATTGTCACATACAGGTTGAACCTATACAAATTATTGGTCTTCTTATTTACATGCTCGGTAATACTTAAAAAGTTTTTGGTTAGTAAGATGATCTACTATACGCCAGTGTAAAATATTAGGGTAGCTAAAATGAAATGCAATGGATTGATATAGCTTCTGATTGGAGAAAGTTTTGCTCGAAACGAACGACGTTAATATTTCGTTTACAAAAATAGGGAAAGTAAGTAGGTACAGGGTGATTTACTATATTTTGACCTTCCCTTTAACTTTTTTTCTTCAAGAGTTATAAAAAAATATGAAATACAAAAGTTGCACGATTTTTTATGAATTTTTCGAAAATGATAGTTGAAAAACAAATGAAGTCCAAACAAAATGGCCGCTAATGCTAACTTTGTTCTCTTATATGGAACACCCTGTATATTTTTACATATTTGGATAGAACGTTCCCTGTCGAGCATAGTCATGTACGGTTTTTTGGGCGCATCTCTAAAAATAAGCGAGATACCATTAAAAAACGAAAAGGTTTTTTATTTTTATTAGAATTAAATAATAAAAAATTATTAGCACTTACTTTTGTTGATCACCTTTATAAAAGTGTCGTTTGCTATCGTATTGTCTCAGTATGGAAGTCTCCTTTACAACTCGTTGGATCCTTACAGCAGTCAAAATGAATAATGTGACATTTACAGTAACCACAATCACTATCGGTCCGTAGAAGTACAACAAATTTGGACAACCATCTGAAATGACGGTAAATAATGTATCGATTAAGTAAATTACATATGCTAAAAAAATTCGTAATGCTGCGGAAATGGTTGAGTAGTAATAATTATTATACATTAGATTAGTCTATTATTGATTTGATCAAGGTATACCTAGGTGGAATAATTTTATTTTAAGGGATGTAGTGTAACACTTCAAGAGTTTGATAAATGTATTATAAATTCAGTTTCATGTTTATGTTTGGTTTGCTATTAAAATTAATTCCATTTGCAAATAAAACAGTTACAAATTAATAATATACATGAATATTTTTTACCTCTCAAGAAACATTTCTCATATCCAACTCCTGGGAAATAAAAAGAATCGCTGGCGCCGAATGTATTTATTAAAAATATAACTAGAAAGTGCAAAGATGGAACACCTACAGCATAGGCAAAATACATTAAAAATCCTTTTCTCTCTGCAAGTTTTCTACCATTAAAGTCACTCATATCTCTGAAAAAAAAAAAAAACGCATTAAAGGTTTCCAAATGTAAGGATCCCTTTTTAAACCTATTCTGTAGGTTTATAGGTTAAGGGCCCCATATTCTTTAAATAGTGTTTTCCGCAAAGACAAATAATTTCAAACATTTAATAACTGAATAATCTAAAGCTTATCAAATAATAGGAATGTTACGTCATGCCACCCGAGTATTTTCAAAGACGCCGCAGTATAACGAATAAACAGGTGCAAAAAACGATCAAACCATCACGGTTTTAGGTACTGAAATCTACGAAAATACTAACTTTTTTATATATAATTCCACATGTAAATATTCTTATAACATTTACTTGCTTAGTCCTATATATAAAATTGTTTACTTTTATTTATAAATACGTGAAAATAATTTTTAAAATGTGGGGTTAGAATAACAGCAAACGCATGTTTTCCAAACGCTTTTTTTTAGTTATTATTTTATTTGAGTAAATTTAAATGGTAACAATGAATAAACAAAACATCAAGGATTTTATTTTTGTGCTTACTTTTGTTCTACACGTTTTACTTTTAAAGATTTCAGTACCTAAAAACGCCAGAAATTTCACTATTTCTCGGCCAGGAATATGGCCACCTTAATTTAAGAACATTCCATTGACGTATCTAATTTACTTACATACATGAATGAATTAATGATTTTCTATATTCTTAAATTATATATTGCTAAAATGTAGTAAATAAGTAAAAATTCTTCTTTGTTTTCTTACACTTTTCAGTTTTCTGAATAAAGTTAGTGGATAAGGCAGACTGAATACAAATGAAACAAGAAAATTGTTTTATGACATGACCATACATATTACATGCAAATATAAACTAAAAAATATATTTGATATATGTCTAAATAATGGCAGCAAAATAAACTTATTTTTTTGAAATAGAATTGATTACTCACCTAAACGCAAACCATATATCTAGACATACAACGTTCATCCAAAAGAACGATGACATGAAGAAAAATATTATCAAATAACCTAAAAATCATTTAAATCATTAATAGGAAAATAAAAAATCAATATATTCATGTTGAAAAAAAATATGTGAACATAAGTATTTATAATATATTATTTTATTATTTTAAAAGCTGGT